TATGATTTAATGCAATATATAATAATTTTGAACATCACAGATATTGGGTATAACGTTTTAACGCTGGAGGAGATCTCGTTCATGAAGCTGCTTCAGCGCGTCACCGATTGCGTCAGCGCGTCACCGGCTGCGTCAGCGCGTCACCGATTGCGTCAGCGCGTCACCGGCTGCTTCAGCGCGTCACCGGTTGCGTCAGCGCGTCACCGGCTGCGTCAGCGCGTCACCGGCTGCTTCAGCGCGTCACCGGTTGCGTCAGCGCGTCACCGGCTGCGTCAGCGCGTCACCGGCTGCTTCAGCGCGTCACCGGTTGCGTCAGCGCGTCACCGGCTGCGTCAGCGCGTGACCGGCTGCGTCAGCGCGTCACCCACTGCTTCAGCACCTCACCGACTGCTTCAGCGCGTCAACAGGTGATGATGCCCTCCTTAAGAGCAAATTATCAGGAAAAATGGTTATTTGTGTCTTAAATTTCATGTGAAGATCCTGAGAGTAGCCCTCAAGGCGACTTTTGGCCTTTTTCTCTCTCTTTTTAACGAAGTTCAAGAGGTTGAGACTACATCAGTAAGTCTGAAATGAAGCCAGTTCCGACCGCTTGACCAATGTTTGTACACCGGACTAGAGTATTCCTATGCAGGCGATGAGTCACAATAACGTGGCTGAAGTATGTTGACCAGACCACACACACTAGAAGGTGAAGGGACGACGACGTTTCGGTCCGTCCTGGACCATTCTCAAGTCGATTGTGAAATGAGAGTATTCCCCCATCCTCTGGGGGTCTGTGAGTGACGGGAAGGGAGTTCACGCCTCCATGTTCCAGGATTGTGATCAAGACCTGATCAATCTATTTTCCGAAATATTTCACAAGCAGCAACAGCGTCTCGGGGAAAGTGGGTGTCTAGGGCTGGCTCAGGGCACGATGGACCTTGCTCAAGCACAGCACGGGTGGAAGCCCCGGCTCTTGGGTTCCCATCCAGTAGAGAACCAGCGGGGGTCAGACCAGAAGAATCAGGCAGACCAAGGTAATCGAACCAGTAGAGTCCAACCAGCGAAGACGTCCTGGAAGGCGGAAGAACTCTATGGGTACTACTCTAGCTGACTCTTCCACCTGCAGCCTAGCTACCAAGACTGAGCTGATCGTTCCATATCCTGCGGTGCGTGAGCCAGGACTGGATATTCGTGTACATGAACTTCCTATAGCTTCATGCGGCGTGGCGTGTCAGGCAGGTAAGCCTCGTCCACTTATCACTTCTTGTTTTAACAACCAGAACCGGACATTCTTATACTGTAATGACGCACTCAAGATGATTAAGAGTCTAACAGAGATAGGATCCTTGGCTGAGCTCTTTATAGAAAACGTCCTTAAAGAACACCCTGAAGACCTACATGGAGACCCGTAACCTCTTGCACTTGGCTCGTCGGTTCTTGAACCAGAACTGGACGTTCTTCGGCTCGAGCTTCGGGAACTTCTGGCGGTAGGGCATGCGGTTGAGTTCCTCCGTGTACTTGAGGATCAGGTTGTGGCTGGGGTGGGTGTTGATGGCGAACCATTGCTCCAGACGCGGCACCTCTGTCACCGGGTCGATGAAGGTGCGGTTCCTCTTGCGGCGTTCCTCTGGCGGACCGCTGCTCCCCAGGCCACTCGAGAACGGAGACACCTGTAGAGGGAACGGAGAGGATGGGGGTTATTTCCAGCACATAACCATCAATACTCTAGTAACACGCGCAAAAACATTACATTTGCACGATTGTAAGATGTAAATATGGATTAATGAAGAAATGACTCATTACAACAATAGTCTTGCCTTCTACAGTCACAAATTCATCCTGCCTCTCAAAAGAAAAACAATGTTTAACCTAACCAAACTTAACCAAGCCTAAACTTAAAGACTTAAACCAGTGCTTAGAGAAAATAGGCACTATAGCACTAGAAATATGTAGTAGGCCTATACCACTAAGAAAACAGAAAAAGAAGCAAACTGGAACGAGAACGGCGCTCCTTCTATAGGCGAAGAGAACAAACAGCAGAACATCTCAGACGCTCCAGTGTCCCAACACCGACGAGGAAGGTTGTGTTGGGGGATAGAAACGATGGAACTGACGCTGAGAGAATCATATAAAATCTAAGAGAGGTAAAGAGAGCAAAAGGCCATAATAGAAATAGAAATGAACCCGAAATACTTTTTCTCCTATGCTAAAACTAGAACAAAAACTGCAGCCAGCATTAGGTCCTTGCGCAAAGGTGATGGAACTTTCACAGATGACAACAAAGAAATAAGTGAAATATTGAGGCTTCCTTACGATTCTGTTTTCAGTGAACCACTGACCACATTGATGATCAATGATCTAAATGAATTCTTCATGAATGTGACACCAACATGGAACCACATATCAGGTGTCATCCTAACCCCACTGGACTTTGAAGTAACCATAGACAGCCTGTCCATGCACTCTGCACCAGGCCCAGACTCCTGGTATTCTATATTTATCAAGAAGTGCAAAACACCACTATCACAGGCCCTAAACATCAATGGAGACGGAGCCTAGATACTGGCGTCATCCCTGACCTACTTAAAACAGCGGAGATCGCGCCACTTCACAAAGGAGGTAGTAAAGCAGATGCAAAAAATTATAGACCATAAGCTCTAATTTCACATATACAAAATTTTGAAAGAGTTCTAAGAAGTAAGATTACAAATCACATGGAATCCCAACACCTACATAATCCCGGACAACCCGAGTTCAGAACAGGGCGCTCCTGCCTCTCACAGTTGCTAGATCACTATGACTTGGTCTTTGGTGCCGTGGAAAACAAGTAAAACGCTATTGTAATATACACAGACTTTGCAAAAGCTTTCGACAAATGTGGCCATGGTGTTACTGTGCACAAAATGCGTGCAAAAGGAATTACCGGCAAGCTAAAGAGATGGATTTTCAACTTCCTAACGAACAGAACGCAGAGTGTAATAGTCAACACAGTAAAATCCGGATCATCTACTGTGAAAAGCTTAGTCCCCCCGAGATACCGTACTTGCTCCGTACATTTTCTCACCCTAATATCAGACATATACAAGGATACAAACTACAGCACTGTATTATCATTTACAGATGACACTAAGATTTTCATGCGAGCAGACAGACAATATAGAGAACACGGCAAACCTCCACTCGGATGTAAATAGGGTCTTTCAATGAGCCACAGATAATAATATGATGTGTATTATCTACAGCGCAGGCGAGAAATGCATAATAATCTACATGTGGAAGATATTAGACACATGAGGCCAGAAGGCATGGCAGGATGTGCAAAATACCCCCGTTAAAAAGCAAATGTGCAATAGGTACGCTGAGGGAGAACTATCAACATCAAGGGCCCAAGACTTATCAACACTCTCCCTCTACACATAAGGGACATAACTGGCCGACCTCTCACAGTGTTCAAGAGAGAACTACAAACAACTTCAAAGAATACCTGATAAAACAGGCTGTGATTCGTACGTCAGGATGCGAGCAGCTGCGTCCAGCAGCCTGGTCGGAGACCGGGCCGCGGGGGCGGTGATCCCCAGAAGCTAACCAAAGTAGGAATTAATGATATGTAAATTTCGGGTATTTAGGGAACCTGTTGAGGTGCAGACCTTCAGCCATGACAGTGTCAGGATAAGAAGGGAACAAGTCTAATGCATGGTTCGAAAAGAAAGTTTTACTTACGGCTGACAGTCCAGCCTCCTGCTGTCTTGCTTAGCACGTCGAACAAACCGTTCTCAAGTCAACAGACCGGGAAGACAAAAAAAAAAAACATCGGAGGGGGATATAACGCTGCCCAGCAAACGTATTTTAACATTTAAAAAAAAAGGAAAAAAAATAGCGTGGGATGGGCGTATGAAGGCGTCGCACCGCCACACCTCCGCTGAAAGCTCACCGTCACGCGGAAATGGAACGCCTCGCTCCAGGGGAGAGTTTTAGTAATCAAAGTAATTGCCTTCATCTATCGCATCCGGGATCGCCAGCTCAAATATAATTCTCATCTCGAGCCTTCAGACCAGCTTCGTGGAGGACACGACCACAGTGGGGGGAAGCTGCCTTCAGACAGCTTCGTAGAGGACACGACCACTGTGGGAGAAGCTGCCTTCAGACAGCTTCTTGGTGGACACGACCACTGTACGGGAAAGCTGCCTTCAGACCAGCTTCGTAGAGGACACGACCACAGTGGGAGAAGCTGCCTTCAGAGCAGCACCGTGGGGAAGCTACAGGAAGCCATCCGGCTTACTGCAAGGTACACAGTTGCAACATGCAACCCTTTATCAATTACACCAAGTACACATGACCGCTCTATAACAACGCGGGAGCCATCCCCACCATAACAATGGTGGGGAACCATCCCCACCATAATAATGATGGTGGGGATAAGAGAGGCAGCTGACTAACACTCCACACATCCCATCACACTGCCGTATAAACATACTTAACATCTCTCTGTATTAATATTCATTAATACACCGCCCCCAGTCACTCCCACCAGGCAATTCAATACTATGATCAGGTTAATATTATCATAAGTCAATATAACCCAACCCATAAGAACAATGAAGAACTAGGTCAACAGGTCAGTGACAATAAAACAGATACAAGAACGCACTATACATGCAAAAACAGATACAAGAACGCACTATACATGCAAAAACAGATACAAGAACGCACTATACATGCAAAAACAGATACAAGAACGCACTATACAAGCAAAATTAGATACAAAAACGTATTATACATGCAAAAACAGATACAAGAACGCACTATACATGCAAAAACAGATACAAGAACGCACTATACATGCAAAAACAGATACAAGAACGCACTATACATGCAAAAACAGAATCACGCAATTCCTGTACATATATTTTCTCCGTGTCAAGAGTTACAGTCCCCGCACGCATCCATTACGGGCTGGTGTGATGGACGCAATGGCCTGTCAACTGGGTGGGATATCTAAGGATAATGACAGTATATTTCGTAAGGATGCTCTCACGTGTAAGTACAATTGGTATACCTTGAGATCTACTTTAACAAGCTCAGAGAAACAGTATATTAATAGTTGCGGACTGATGACTTGCATCTGAAGATACAGCCACGGACAAAGATACATTAAAAAGGAACATGAAAACTAACAAGAACAGTAATTTAGACATTACAAACACCAAAAAAAAAAAAAATAAAAAAAGCAAAAGTAAAGCGGACAAAACCAGAACAAAGTGAGTGGAGGAACATAAATCAATAGTGTGAGAGGCTGACCTGGGGCATATAGTGAGCCATGTACATCATAGAGTGCTGGAGGAGTGAGCCGGGCACGACAGGGTAGGGCAGGCGGTCCATCCCTGCCTGGCCTAGCCCGGGCAGGGGCGGGTATGGCGGCAGGGACAGAGCTCCCGGCGACACCACAGGCGGCGGCGAACACTGCGTACCAAGTCAACAAGCATTAACATTCTAATAAATTATATTATCATCATTAAAGTTTATTATTAGATTAGTATACCCTTGATTAAAACTATTACATACGAAAGGTGTGAGTTAGAACATGGATTGGGATGGAAGACTTATAAAGACCGCCCGGATCACGTTTTGTTTTGCGATTTGGATTTGATATTGTCGTTTGACATTTCTCTTCAACGGTCCGGTTGTACGACGCCTTGCGCACATATCGCCTTGGGTCACGGGATTGTTGATAGAATTTTTTTTGACGTGTTCTGGGGCCAGATTCACGAAAGCGCTTACGCAAACACTTACGAACCTGTACATCTTTTCTCAATCTTTGGCGGCTTTGTTTCCAATTATTAAACAGTAATGAGCTCCGAAGCACCAGGAGGCTGTTGATAACAATAACAACAGTTGATTGGCTAGTTTTCATGCTTGTAAACTGTTAAATAAATGTAAACAATGATTGAGGAAAGATGTACACGTTCGTAAGTGCTTTCGTGAATCTGGCCCGCTGGCCGATTCTCCCGGCGGAGTGACGGTGTTCGACGCCGGCTTGGCCGAGAGATGCCGGGAGTTGGCGGGTCTTGGCGGGCTCCCAGCCGTGGAGGGCGTCTGGCTTCTGCTCTGCCGGGGGCACTGGATGACTTTTACGTTTTAGCTGGGGGGCCGAGTTTTTGATTTTGCTACCCAGTGTTCTCTCTGTGGGCCGGTGCTTGTCACTCTGAGGGACTCCCGGGGCTCCCCAATCATCTGCCTGTCAGCGTTTCTTTGCCGCGAGGCATATTGTTTCCAGTGATTGGTGGCACTTGTTTCGCGATTCGACTTGGCGTTTCACCTTTCCGGGCTTCGCGATTTACCCTTCCCGGGTACGCCGGGGCGCCTCCGATCCCACGATCCTCGTCGCCGCTAAATCAACAACGACAACAGGAACATACCCCAGCTCTTAGTCTGTCCTTATACCCCAGCTCTTAGTCTGTCCTCATACCCAGCTCTCAAGTCTGTCCTCATACCTCAGCTCTCAGTCTGTCCTCATACCCCAGCTCTTAGTCTGTCCTCATACCCCAGCTCTTAGTCTGTCCTCATACCCCAGCTCTTAAGTCTGTCCTTATACCCCAGCTCTTAGTCTGTCCTCATACCCCAGCTCTTAAGTCTGTCCTTATACCCCAGCTCTTAGTCTGTCCTTATACCCCAGCTCTTAGTCTGTCCTTATACCCCAGCTCTTAGTCTGTCCTTATACCCCAGCTCTTAGTCTGTCCTCATACCCCAGCTCTTAGTCTGTCCTTATACCCTAGCTCTTAGTCTGTCCTCATACCCCAGCTCTCAAGTCTGTCCTCATACCCCAGCTCTCAAGTCTGTCCTCATACCCCAGCTCTTAGTCTGTCCTTATACCCCAGCTCTTAGTCTGTCCTTATACCCCAGCTCTTAATCTGTCCTCATACCCCAGCTCTTAGTCTGTCCTTATACCCCAGCTCTTAATCTGTCCTCATACCCCAGCTCTCAGTCTGTCCTCATACCCCAGCTCTTAGTCTGTCCTCATACCACAGCTCTTAGTCTGTCCTCATACCCCAGCTCTTAGTCTGTCCACATACCCCAGCTCTTAGTCTGTCCTCATACCACAGCTCTTAGTCTGTCCACATACCCCAGCTCTTAGTCTGTCCACATACCCCAGCTCTTAGTCTGTCCTCATACCTCAGCTCTTAAGTCTGTCCACATACCCCAGCTCTTAGTCTGTCCACATACCCCAGCTCTTAGTCTGTCCTCATACCTCAGCTCTTAAGTCTGTCCTCATACCCCAGCTCTTAGTCTGTCCTCATACCCCAGCTCTTAGTCTGTCCTTATACCCCAGCTCTTAATCTGTCCTCATACCCCAGCTCTTAGTCTGTCCTTATACCCCAGCTCATAATCTGTCCTCATACCCCAGCTCTTAGTCTGTCCTCATACCCCAGCTCTTAGTCTGTCCACATACCCCAGCTCTTAGTCTGTCCTCATACCCCAGCTCTTAATCTGTCCACATACCCCAGCTCTTAGTCTGTCCTCATATCCCAGCTCTCAGTCTGTCCTCATACCCCAGCTCTTAGTCTGTCCTCATACCTCAGCTCTTAATCTGTCCACATACCCTAGCTCTTAATCTGTCCTCATACCCCAGCTCTCAGTCTGTCCTCATACCCCAGCTCTCAGTCTGTCCTCATACCCCAGCTCTTAATCTGTCCACATACCCCAGCTCTTAGTCTGTCCTCATACCCCAGCTCTTAGTCTGTCCACATACCCCAGCTCTTAGTCTGTCCTCATACCCCAGCTCTTAGTCTGTCCACATACCCCAGCTCTTAGTCTGTCCACATACCCCAGCTCTTAGTCTGTCCTCATACCCCAGCTCTCAGTCTGTCCTCATACCCCAGCTCTTAGTCTGTCCTCATACCCCAGCTCTTAATCTGTCCACATACCCCAGCTCTTAATCTGTCCTCATACCTCAGCTCTTAGTCTGTCCACATACCTCAGCTCTTAGTCTGTCCACATACCCCAGCTCTTAGTCAGTCCACATACCCCAGCTCTTAGTCTGTCCACATACCCCAGCTCTTAGTCTGTCCACATACCCCAGCTCTTAGTCTGTCCACATACCCCAGCTCTTAATCTGTCCTCATACCTCAGCTCTTAGTCTGTCCACATACCTCAGCTCTTAGTCTGTCCACATACCCCAGCTCTTAGTCTGTCCACATACCCCAGCTCTTAGTCTGTCCACATACCCCAGCTCTTAGTCTGTCCACATACCCCAGCTCTTAATCTGTCCTCATACCTCAGCTCTTAGTCTGTCCACATACCTCAGCTCTTAGTCTGTCCACATACCCCAGCTCTTAGTCTGTCCACATACCCCAGCTCTTAATCTGTCCTCATACCTCAGCTCTTAGTCTGTCCACATACCTCAGCTCTTAGTCTGTCCACATACCCCAGCTCTTAGTCTGCCCACATACCCCAGCTCTTAGTCTGTCTACATACCCCAGCTCTTAGTCTGTCCACATACCCCAGCTCTTAGTCTGTGCACATACCCCAGCTCTTAGTCTATCCACATACCCCAGCTCTTAGTCTGTCCACATACCCCAGCTCTTAGTCTGTCCACATACCTCAGCTCTTAGTCTATCCACATACCCCAGTTCTTAGTCTGTCCTCATACTCCAGCTCTTAGTCTGTCCTCATACCCCAGCTCTTAGTCTGTCCTCATACTCCAGCTCTTAGTCTATCCACATACCCCAGCTCTTAATCTGTCCTCATACCCCAGCTCTTAGTCCGACCTCATACATCAGCTCTTTGTCTGTCCACATACCCCAGCTCTTAGTCTGTCCTCATACCCCAGCTCTTAGTCTGTCCACATACCCCAGCTCTTAGTCTGTCCTCATACCCCAGCTCTTAGTCTGTCCACATACCCCAGCTCTTAGTCTGTCCTCATACCCCAGCTCTTAGTCTGTCCTCATACCCCAGCTCTTAGTCTGTCCTCATACCCCAGCTCTTAGTCTGTCCTCATACTCCAGCTCTTAGTCTGTCCTCATACCCCAGCTCTTAATCTATCCACATACCCCAGCTCTTAGTCTGTCCTCATACCCCAGCTCTTAGTCTGTCCACATACCCCAGCTCTTAGTCTGTCCTCATACCCCAGCTCTTAGTCTGTCCACATTCCCCAGCTCTTAGTCTGTCCTCATACCCCAGCTCTTAATCTGTCCTCATACCCCAGCTCTTAATCTGTCCTCATACCCCAGCTCTTAATCTGTCCTCATACTCCAGCTCTTAGTCTGTCCTCATACCCCAGCTCTTAGTCTGTCCTAATACCCCAGCTCTTAATCTGCCCACATACCCCAGCTCTTAATCTGTCCACATACTCCAGCTCTTAATCTGTCCTAATACCCCAGCTCTTAATCTGTCCACATACCCCAGCTCTTAGTCTGTCCTCATACCCCAGCTCTCAGTCTGTCCTCATACCCCAGCTCTCAGTCTGTCCTCATACCCCAGCTCTCAGTCTGTCCTCATACCCCAGCTCTTAGTCTGTCCACATACCCCAGCTCTTAGTCTGTCCTCATACCCCAGCTCTTAAGTCTGTCCTCATACCCCAGCTCTTAAGTCTGTCCTCATACCCCAGCTCTTAGTCTGTCCACATACCCCAGCTCTCAGTCTGTCCTCATACCCCAGCTCTCAGTCTGTCCTCATACCCCAGCTCTCAGTCTGTCCTCATACCCCAGCTCTCAGTCTGTCCTCATACCCCAGTTCTTAGTCTGTCCACATACCCCCCAGCTCTTAGTCTGTCCTCATACCCCAGCTCTTAATCTGTCCTCATACCCCAGCTCTTAATCTGTCCTCATACCCCAGCTCTTAGTCTGTCCTCATACCCCAGCTCTTAATCTGTCCTCATACCCCAGCTCTTAGTCTGTCCTCATACCCCAGCTCTTAATCTGTCCTCATACCCCAGCTCTTAGTCTGTCCTCATACCCCAGCTCTTAATCTGTCCTCATACCCCAGCTCTTAATCTGTCCTCATACCCCAGCTCTTAATCTGTCCTCATACCCCAGCTCTTAGTCTGTCCTCATACCCCAGCTCTTAATCTGTCCTCATACCCCAGCTCTTAGTCTGTCCTCATACCCCAGCTCTCAGTCTGTCCACATACCCCAGCTCTTAGTCTGTATTCATACCCCAGCTCTTAATCTGTCCTCATACCCCAGCTCTTAGTCTGTCCACATACCCCAGCTCTTAATCTGTCCACATACCCCAGCTCTCAGTCTGTCCACATACCCCAGCTCTTAGTCTGTCCTCATACCCCAGCTCTTAATCTGTCCTCATACCCCAGCTCTTAGTCTGTCCTCATACCCCAGCTCTTAATCTGTCCTCATACCCCAGCTCTTAGTCTGTCCACATACCCCAGCTCTTAATCTGTCCTCATACCCCAGCTGCAACCAAATCAGCATAAATTTTTGAAGCAGGTGAATTACAAGCGAGGAAACGGGATGCTGAATCTTGCATTGTGGCATCTGTCATGGTTATTTTAGGCAGGTGAGAGGTAAGGGTGACGTGAAGACTTGGCGGGCGTGTCTCCAGACCTCGTCTGCCTCAAGTGTCTCATGAATCGAGTGGTTATAGTTGGTGTTACGACCAGTAGTCTTGAAGCTCTTTCATATTTCCGTCTTAATCATAGTAGCCTTAAAGCTTTCTGGCCACTCGTCTCGTACCGCTTCGTTCTGGTACAATGTATAATCATTTCAGATGCATATTGTGTGTGTGTGTCGACAAGGTGTCATATCGATACAGCCACAATTAAGCTTTATAAATACTTGGTACTTCATTATGTATTTTGGGGAGACGGTCAGTCAGCTCCACACACACACACCAATGTTCGGTGAGTGAACACGGTGTGAGGCGAGGCTATAGACTCTTCCGTATCAGTGGTGAAGAGAGAGACATTTGTTTGTGATTCAAAGGTCTTTTTCTCGTGTGTCTAAGAGTGAAGATATTTTAGTATGCTCCTCGGAAGGTTAGGAATATTCGGCAGTGTCCTCGTGACCAGCACGAGTGCTTGTTGATTAGTGTGTGAGGGGGGGGGGGTGGTGGAGCCTCTGAGCTGCTCGCACTCTCACTCGGGGGGACTTGCTGGAGAGTGAGTGCCTCGAGGGTGACTCCTGAGATCTGAACGCAGGTGGCATTAAGCAGTAAATCATGCATGGGTTCCGAACTTGGTACCCCCTATTCTATTCCCTTCCCCCTCTCTAACTCACACACCACACCCCTCATTTCCTTGCCTTTCCTTACCTCACACCCCATTCCCTCACCCATGACTCCCCTCCCCCCGCCTATCCCAAACACCAACCCCTATCCCGCCCCCGCTCCACCTCCCGAAGCCTCCAGTACTCACCTTGCCCTCATTGACTGGACCGATGCTGTCTCTTGACCTGACCTCATCCTCATCTTCACTCATGTCCACGTCACTCTCAGGGGGGCAGCGATCCCCTGAGGACGAGTTGGGACCCCCGGAGCTGCCCCCGGCTGCCAGCACCCGCCCCTGCAGGCTCTCTGAAGGCTCTGAACCAGGCGGCCTAGACTCCTCGTCCTCCTGAAGGGCGAAGGGGAACAAACGTGAGTGTTCGGAGAAGGGACTGACGAAGGGACACAGACGAAGGGACTGACGAAGAGACACAGACGAAGGGACACAGACGAAGGGACACAAACAAGGGGACACAGACGAAGGGCACAAACAAGGGGACACAGACGAAGGGCACAAACAAGGAGACACAGACGAAGGGACTGACGAAGGGACACAGACGAAGAGACACAGACGAAGGGCACAAACAAGGGGACACAGACGAAGGGACTGACGAGGGGACACAGACGAAGGGACACAGACGAAGGGCACAAACAAGGGGACACAGACGAAGGGCACAAACAAGGAGACACAGACGAAGGGACTGACGAAGGGACACAGACGAAGAGACACAGACGAAGGGCACAAACAAGGGGACACAGACGAAGGGCACAAACAAGGGGACACAGACGAAGGGCACAAACAAGGGAACACAGACGAAGGGCACAAACAAGGAGACACAAACGAAGGGACTAACAAGGGGACACAGACGAAGGGACAGACGAAGGGACACAGACGAAGGGACACAAACAACAGGTCTAATAAATAATACCTAACAGAACTATATAACCTGATAACTATAATACTAACAACCAAGCCAGTATTAACCCGTTAAAAACACGTACAGTACACGTCAATATTTGATTCATTTCATACAAGCATACGACAGTGCGAATCATTAAAATATAAATAAAAGGAAAAATATGTCTGTCTGTCTGTAAGAAGTTGGGGAACCAGACACTTTAATTGGCTTAGCCTCACGCGACTTTGCAGGGTGACTGGTTGAGGTTCGAGCACTGTCATAGGCTGGTCGGAGTCAAACCCATTGCTACTATAAAAAGTGGGTCGGCTACCAAGGCGACCCCCCCCCCCCCCAAGAAAACGGTAGAGATTTATTTTAACATCCAATTACTATAAAACACGAAAATAATTTTCATATTTAAGAAAGAAATAAGTTTTTGTAATTGTTTTTAAAGCGCCCTATTGTCCAGTAGAGTAATAAGTCCCGACCACCTGTTGTCCAGTAAAGCAACAGGTCCTTGTTACCTGTTGTTCAGTAAAGGAGCAGGTCCTTGTTACCTGCTGTTCAGTAAAGCAACAGGTCCTTGTTACCTGTTGTTCAGTAAAGGGTCCTTGTTACCTGTTGTTCAGTAAAGGGTCCTTGTTACCTGTTGTTCAGTAAAGGGTCCTTGTTACCTGTTGTTCAGTAAAGGAGCAGGTCCTTGTTACCTGTTGTTCAGTAAAGGGTCCTTGTTACCTGTTGTTCAGTAAAGGTGCAGGTCCTTGTTACCTGTTGTTCAGTAAAGGTGCAGGTCCTTGTTACCTGTTGTTCAGTAAAGGAGCAGGTCCTTGTTACCTGTTGTTCAGTAAAGGGTCCTTGTTACCTGTTGTTCAGTAAAGGAGCAGGTCCTTGTTACCTGTTGTTCAGTAAAGGAGCAGGTCCTTGTTACCTGTTGTTCAGTAAAGGAGCAGGTCCAGGCCACATGTTGTTCAGTAAAGCAACAGATCCAACCTACCTGTTGTGCATTTAAGCAACAAGTCCCTGTTATTTGCTGTCCAGTAAAGCCACAGGTATGGCCACCTGTTGTCAGTAAAGCAACAGGTCTTGTCCGTCTGTTGTCTAGTAAAGCAACAGGTCTTGTCCATCTGTTGTCAGTAAAGCAACAGGTTTTGGCCACCTGTTGTCAGTAAAGCAACAGGTCTTGTCCATCTGTTGGCAGTAAAACAACAGGTCTTCTCCGTCTGTTGTCAGTAAAGCAACAGGTCTTGGCCACCTTTTCTAAATAAAACAACAGGGGGCCAGATTCACGAAGCAGTTACGCAAACACTTACGAACCTGTACATCTTTTCTCAATCTTTGGCGGCTTTGTTTACAATTATTAAACAGTTAATGAGCTGCGAAGCACCAGGAGGCTGTTTATAACAATAACAACAGTTGATTGGGACATTTTCATGCTTGTAAACTGTTTAATAAATGTAACCAAAGCCGTCAAAGATTGAGGAAAGATGTACACGTTCGTAAGAACTTGCGTAACTGCTTCGTGAATCTGGCCCCAAGTCTTGGGCACCTGTTGTACGTACAGCTGCTGATATCGCTGTCGCTACAGCTGCTGCTGCTGCCGTTGTTACGGGTAAAGCTGCCACAGCTGTAGTCATTCAAGCAGCGGCCGAGCCCAAAGCCACATTTATCAACAAACTGTGTATTCAAACCGGTATTTTCTCAATATAAATTTAGGTCATACTTGAATTCTAAACAATTAGGCCTAGAACTGGGGGTTAGGTGTTGACGCTGTGTGGTTAACCCGTCTTCAGACCAAGTCCATTCCATCCAGCGGTCGACCCCACAGACGCATTCATCAATTTTAACATGCTGTTCATTCATAATTAGAATTTTCTAATACATTAATTAATATTGCTATATATTAGCTGTGCTTATTTAGGCACTGGTTAGATTAGGTTAGGTTCTGTTGGCGATTATTTGTATTTGTAGCACGTGGGTGAAGCATTTGCTGCAACCCGTCCAAGACTCAAGTCCATTACATCCAGCGGTCGACCCCACAGACGCATTCATAAATTTCAACATGATGTTCATTCAAAACGGGAATTTTCTCAGGTATAAATTAATATTATAACATATTAGCATATTGTGTATATATAGGCATAGGATAGGTTAGGTGTTTAGGTTCTGTTGGCGATTATTTGTATTTGTAGTACGTGGGTGAAGCATTTACAGCGTTGTGGTTCGAACAAAATTCGTCAGTGAAGCACTTGTTCCGGAAGTATTCGGACGAAATCAGTTGTGAGTCGTGTGTAAACCGTTTTTCATTCATAAACAGGGGGTTTGGCGGGTGGGTGGATTGGACTTTGTTTATAAGGACGGACTGCGTGTGTAGTTTTTCATTCATAAACGAGGGGGAGATGGGGGAGGGGAGGGGGTGTTGGCGGCTGTATTAACGATCGTTTGGTTTTAATGGCGGGCTGGTGTTCGCAGTTATCGGGTCAAGGCATTTGCAGAGGTGCAATTCGAACGCTGAAGGAGAACGTAACACCGTTCGAGAACAGTTCGAGGACGCCCAGCTGTGAGTAGTGTGGGGGTAGCGAGGACGCCCAGCTGTGTGTAGTGTGGGGGTAGCGAGGACGCCCAGCTGTGTGTAGTGTGGGGGTAGCGAGGACGCCCAGCTGTGTGTAGTGTGGGGGTAGCGAGGACGCCGAGCTGTGTGTAGTGTGGAGGTAGCGAGGACGCCGAGCTGTGAGTAGTGTGGGGGTAGCGAGGACGCCCAGCTGTGTGTAGTGTGGGGGTAGCGAGGACGCCCAGCTGTGTGTAGTGTGGGGGGTAGCGAGGACGCCCAGCTGTGTGTAGTGTGGGGGTAGCGAGGACGCCCAGCTGTGTGTAGTGTGGAGGTAGCGAGGACGCCGAGCTGGTAGTAGTTTGGAGGTAGCGAGGACGCCGAGCTGTGTGTAGTGTGGAGGTAGCGAGGACGCCGAGCTGTGAGTAGTGTGGGGGTAGCGAGGACGCCGAGCTGTGAGTAGTGTGGGGGTAGCGAGGACGCCCAGCTGTGTGTAGTGTAGGGGTAGCGAGGACGCCCAGCTGTGTGTAGTGTGGGGGTAGCGAGGACGCCCAGCTGTGTGTAGTGTGGGGGTAGCGAGGACGCCCAGCTGTGTGTAGTGTGGGGGTAGCGAGGACGCCCAGCTGTGTGTAGTGTGGGGGTAGCGAGGACGCCCAGCTGTGTGTAGTGTGGGGGTAGCGAGGACGCCCAGCTGTGTGTAGTGTGGGGGTAGCGAGGACGCCCAGCTGTGTGTAGTGTGGGGGTAGCGAGGACGCCCAGCTGTGTGTAGTGTGGGGGTAGCGAGGACGCCCAGCTGTGTGTAGTGTGGGGGTAGCGAGGACGCCCAGCTGTGTGTAGTGTGGAGGTAGCGAGGACGCCCAGCTGTGTGTAGTGTGGAGGTAGCGAGGACGCCCAGCTGTTAGTAGTGTGGGGGTAGCGAGGACGCCCAGCTGTGTGTAGTGTGGGGGTAGCGAGGACGCCGAGCTGTGAGTAGTGTGGGGGTAGCGAGGACGCCCAGCTGTGAGTAGTGTGGGGGTAGCGAGGACGCCCAGCTGTGTGTAGTGTGGGGGTAGCGAGGACGCCCAGCTGTGTGTAGTGTGGGGGTAGCGAGGACGCCCAGCTGTGAGTAGTGTGGGGGTAGCGAGGACGCCCAGCTGTGTGTAGTGTGGGGGTAGCGAGGACGCCCAGCTGTGAGTAGTGTGGGAGTAGCGAGGACGCCCAGCTGTGTGTAGTGTGGGGGTAGCGAGGACGCCCAGCTGTGAGTAGTGTGGGAGTAGCGAGGACGCCCAGCTGTGTGTAGTGTGGAGGTAGCGAGGACGCCCAGCTGTGTGTAGTGTGGGCGTAGCGAGGACGCCCAGCTGTGTGTAGTGTGGAGGTAGCGAGGACGCCCAGCTGTGTGTAGTGTGGGGGTAGCGAGGACGCCCAGCTGTGTGTAGTGTGGAGGTAGCGAGGACGCCCAGCTGTGTGTAGTGTGGGAGTAGCGAGGACGCCCAGCTGTGTGTAGTGTGGAGGTAGCGAGGACGCCCAGCTGTGTGTAGTGTGGGGGTAGCGAGGACGCCCAGCTGTGTGTAGTGTGGGGGTAGCGAGGACGCCCAGCTGTGTGTAGTGTGGGGGTAGCGAGGACGCCCAGCTGTGAGTAGTGTGGAGGTAGCGAGGACGCCCAGCTGTGTGTAGTGTGGGAGTAGCGAGGACGCCCAGCTGTGAGTAGTGTGGGGGTAGCGAGGACGCCCAGCTGTGAGTAGTGTGGAGGTAGCGAGGACGCCCAGCTGTGTGTAGTGTGGAGGTAGCGAGGACGCCCAGCTGTGTGTAGTGTGGGGGTAGCGAGGACGCCCAGCTGTGTGTAGTGTGGGGGTAGCGAGGACGCCCAGCTGTGAGTAGTGTGGGGGTAGCGAGGACGCCCAGCTGTGAGTAGTGTGGGGGTAGCGAGGACACCCAGCTGTGTGTAGTGTGGGAGTAGCGAGGACGCCGAGCTGTGTGTAGTGTGGGGGTAGCGAGGACGCCCAGCTGTGTGTAGTATGGGGGTAGCGAGGACGCCCAGCTGTGAGTAGTGTGGGGGTAGCGAGGACGCCCAGCTGTGTGTAGTATGGGGGTAGCGAGGACGCCCAGCTGTGAGTAGTGTGGGGGTAGCGAGGACTTACACAGTGTTGATGCGGCCGGCGGCTTTAACCAGTGTTTTCGCCTCGAGTTCCACATTAAAAGTTCATACTGCGTGAGTTTATCAGTGGTACGATCAGACTGTTACTGCTGCTGTTACTATTGGACCTACTAACAGCCTCCCGGCGCTAACAAGGACCGGACGGCTCCCCAACAAAGTCATACGTCCGACACATTCAGGTTAGTAAATTATTGTAACTATTGTACCTTGGAGTGAGGCGGCTTACCGCAAGCCTCTTCCCCAAGGCGACCCAAACAATCACCAACAATTCCTATTCTCCAGTTACCACTACTTAAAGGCATGTTTGGAACAGGTCTAGCCAAGTTTAGACAAAAAGTTAATACGAATCCTCAATTACAGCGCGGGGGGGGGGGGGGAAACTAAATTACAAAACTCTCAAGCCTAATATTTTCAAAATTTGAACCTGATCAGTAACCCGCTGTTGCTGCGTCAGTTTTAAAATTGTCGTCTGCATCAATTTTAAAATTGTCGTCTGCGTCAGTTTTAAAATTGTCATTTGCGTCAATTTTAAAATTGTCGTCTGCTACGCTTTTGTTTTTTTTATTAGAAAAATACATATTTGTGGATATTTAAATAAGGAATTGTGGATATTTAAATAAGGAATTGTTGTTCAAGATTTGCTACCTAAAACAAATAGTTCCAAGCAGCACGGGCTATGGTGAGCCCGTGATATACGGCATCCATCACCAGGGTTGAAAGACAATCCCTAATCAACCCACACAAAAGGTTCTCACGGGATTGATAAACGACAACAGTACTAGACCAACCAATCTTGGAGACATACGCGTAACCTTCGCTTAAAATTGCCAATTTTGCAGCCCTCAATCTCCCCATTTTTTTGTTGGAATATTAAGGCAAATATTTACTCTTGGTTCATATATGTTTGGAACTCCTCTTATATATTTTATTCTTGCGGATTTATATAGTTTGTTTTATTGAGAGTTTTGCGTGCAGTACCGTGAGGAGGGTAGTTAGTACCATGAGGACGTTAGTTAGTACCATGAGGACGTTAGTTAGTACCATGAGGAGGGTAGTTAGTACCATGAGGACGTTAGTTAGTACCATGAGGAGGGTAGTTAGTACCATGAGGACGTTAGTTAGTACCATGAGGACGTTAGTTAGTACCATGAGGAGGGTAGTTAGTACCATGAGGACGTTAGTTAGTACCATGAGGACGTTAGTTAGTACCATGAGGAGGGTAGTTAGTACCATGAGGACGTTAGTTAGTACCATGAGGAGGGTAGTTAGTACCATGAGGACGTTAGTTAGTACCATGAGGACGTTAGTTAGTACCATGAGGAGGGTAGTTAGTACCATGAGGACGTTTGTTAGTACCATGAGGAGGGTAGTTAGTACCATGAGGGTAGTTAGTACCACGAAGACGGTAGTACCATGAGGAGGTAGTTAGTACCATGAGGAGGGTAGTTAGGGTAAGTGAGATACAGAGACGCACTTCTTAACAATTTTGTCTCTTTCTTGCAGGTCAGTTGCAGCTTTAACTTGATGGGGTAAGCGTTCCTCCTGCTTTTGTGTGTTTTTGTTCCATTATCGCATATTTTCGCGGGTGTTTTTGTTCCATTATCGCATATTTTCGCGGGTGTTTTTGTTCCATTATCGCATATTTTCGCGGGTGTTTTTGTTCCATTATCGCATATTTTCGCGGGTGTTTTTGTTCCATTATCGCATATTTTCGCGGGTGTTTTTGTTCCATTATCGCATATTTTCACGGGTGTTTTTGTTCCATTATCGCATATTTTCGCGGGTGTTTTTGTTCCATTACCGCATATTTTCGCGGGTGTTTTTGTTCCATTACCGCATATTTTCGCGGGTGTTTTTGTTCCATTATCGCATATTTTCGCGGGTGTTTTTGTTCCATTACCGCATATTTTCACGGGTGTTTTTGTTCCATTACCGCATATTTTCGCGGGTGTTTTTGTTCCATTACCGCATATTTTCGCGGGTGTTTTTGTTCCATTACCGCATATTTTCGCGGGTGTTTTTGTTCCATTACCGCATATTTTCACGGGTGTTTTTGTTCCATTATCGCATATTTTCGCGGGTGTTTTTGTTCCATTATCGCATACTTTCGCGGGTGTTTTTGTTCCATTACCGCATACTTTCATGGGTGTTTTTGTTCCATTACCGCATATTTTCGCGGGTGTTTTTGTTCCATTACCGCATAGAGTCAATGAGAGGCGACGCTGAGTACCCAGTCAATCCTCCTCTTTAGATAGTCCTTTTTGTAACTATGTGGACCATACATATATGGTCAACATACATATATGGTATATATATATATATATATATATATATCGTACATATATTGACGTAAAGGACTATTAGATAGTAGAATTTGGTACTATTCACTTGATATAGTTCCGGAAAAAAAATATCAAGGTTAAATTCCAACTTAAAATATTTCTAGGTCTAGTATAGTACAGATATGTACTACTGTATTAGGCTGGTTAGGATGGTTAGGCTAGGGTTATGGTATTATTCGCGTGAATACAAAACCTTTTCCAGTCTGTCCAAGCTCAACTGTATCAAATTGTACTTTCTAACTGTCCATTACGTCAGTACACGCACGATAGTCCACATAGCTACTGTACAAGTACTGTCTAAACAGGAGGGTATACGCTGTTTAAAGTACTTTTAAACAGTTTAAAAAAAGCTTTATCACGTGACATCGCTAATACATTGACCAGTCTGTATGGCACACAAGCGCTTGTCCTAAACTATAATAATCTCCCTAAATGACATTTATTATAATAAATCTCCCTAAATATCAACAAACAACATTTCAAAGAAACTTGTTTGCATCAATTTAAAACTGTCGTCTGCGTCAATTTTAAAAATTGTCGTCTGCGTCAGTTTTAAAATTGTCGTCTGCGTCAGTTTTAAAATTGTCGTCTGCGTCAGTTTTAAAAATTGTCGTCTGCGTCAGTTTTAAAATTGTCGTCTGCGTCAGTTTTAAAATTGTCGTCTGCGTCAGTTTTAAAAATTGTCGTCTGCGTCAATTTTAAAAATTGTCGTCTGCGTCAGTTTTAAAATTGTCGTCTGCGTCAGTTTTAAAATTGTCGTCTGCATCAATTTTAAAATTGCCGTCTGCGTCAGTTTTAAAATTGTCGTCTGCGTCAGTTTTAAAATTGTCGTCTGCGTCAGTTTTAAAAATTGTCGTCTGCGTCAGTTTTAAAATTGTCGTCTGCGTCAGTTTTAAAATTGTCGTCTGCGTCAGTTTTAAAAATTGTCGTCTGCGTCAGTTTTAAAAATTGTCGTCTGCGTCAGTTTTAAAATTGTCGTCTGCGTCAGTTTTAAAATTGTCATTTGCGTCAATTTTAAAATTGTCGTCTGCGTCAGTTTTAAAATTGTCATTTGCGTCAATTTTAAAATTGTCGTCTGCGTCAGTTTTAAAATTGTCATTTGCGTCAATTTTAAAATTGTCGTCTGCTACGCTTTTGTTTTTTTTATTAGAAAAATACATATTTGTGTATATTTAAATAAGGAATTGATATCCTTGAGAACAGAAATGGTTGCCGTGTTTTTGTTTTGTTTTTGTATATAAAGCGGATGTTTGCAAATATTCAATAGAAAACGGAATCGGTAGTGGCGACCAGCGCCATCTCTGTGTTGGATGTGTTACTACGGACTTACCGACAAGAAATGAAACTCCATTGGTAGTATTTCGTGACGTCTAATATACAGGTAACATATATATAATACCAACTTAGCAGGCCATTTCAATGCTACTTTTTGAACGTCGTCAAGCTGTTTTTTTCTGTTTAAAAGTGAATTTGAAAGTTGAAAGTGGTCAATTAGCATATTTCCTTCAAAGAAAATCTGGCAACATTATTTAAGGATCCACAAATTTCCACCTTTCAATTCTAACTATTATACTCTTCCACTCCAACAATTTATACCAATTCCTACTTTACTAACTCATAATCATAAAATAAAACCAATATATAAACTTAAATGAATGAACATAACCATTTTATAATTTAAAATTTAAAAAAAAAAATCGAAAACTAACCTGATTTTCTTCGTGTTGCTGCTGTTGTTGTTGCTGCTGCTGTTGTAGGTGTGGGTGGTCGTGGGCGGTGGGCGGGGAGTGGGTGAGTGGGTGGGGCTGATGAGGGGGGGCGGCGTAGGGGTCGTGGTGATCGTCGTTGTCGGAGACGCTGGTTTCGTCGGGCGGCGGCGACTTGAGACCGTTAAACGACCGGAACTCCTGACGTTTGTACGCGGCGCGCGCATTCTGGAGGCGGGAATTGTTGTTGTTGTTATAGATTCAGCTACTCGGAACAAGTTCCAAGTAGCACGGGCTATGGTGAGCCCGTAACTTACCTCACACAGGAGCGGGGCAAGAAGCACGGGCTATGGTTAGCCTAGTGGACGGGAGATGTCTCCCGTCTGAGGCGGGAAGAGGGGAGGCTATTTTAAAAGTGTGGGGCCGTTGATTCAAACCTTTTACCCCCCCTAATCCCCCCCCCTGTTTCAACCCCCGTCTATATATCTATCCTGCCCCCATTTGTACCACCTCCCATTATCTACCCATTCTCCCCATTTGTCCCCCCAAAAAGCCCTTATATCCACATTCTTAGTTTCCAGTTGCCATTTTTTTTCCCTCAAGGGGCCATTTGAACCCTCAGCCCAAGAATCTCAATTAAGAATTGAAGGTTCGGGTCCGCCCTGGAGCCCTTATGATGGGTCTTGATAATTGTCCTAACCCATTTGATAAATATCAAGACCCATTTCAGAATTCTTATTTTCGACACTGGTCTTATCCTAGTGTCCTGTCCAGTGTGGTATTGTGGTGTTCTGTCCAGTGTGGTATTGTGGTGTTCTGTCCAGTGTGGTATTGTGGTGTTCTGTCCAGTGTGGTATTGTGGTGTTCTGTCCAGTGTGGTATTGTGGTGTTCTGTCCAGTGTGGTATTGTGGTGTTCTGTCCAGTGTGGTATTGTGGTGTTCTGTCCAGTGTGGTATTGTGTTCTGTCCAGTGTGGTATTGTGGTGTTCTGTCCAGTGTGGTATTGTGGTGTTCTGTCCAGTGTGGTATTGTGTTCTGTCCAGTGTGGTATTGTGGTGTTCTGTCCAGTGTGGTATTGTGGTGTTCTGTCCAGTGTGGTATTGTGTTCTGTCCAGTGTGGTATTGTGGTGTTCTGTCCAGTGTGGTATTGTGGTGTTCTGTCCAGTGTGGTATTGTGTTCTGTCCAGTGTGGTATTGTGGTGTTCTGTCCAATGTGGTATCCTGTAGTCCTAGAACTTAACTGTGCCGCCCGTGACTGGGCAGGCTGTAGCTACTCTCCCCGTGTATCTATGGTCGCGACAATTTACAACAAAAAGCATCATTATTCTTAACAATTCCTACAAATTGGCAACAAAAAACTTCACTATATTTATAAGTCTTTCATGAACAGACACCCACACGCACACACACACACACACACACACACACACACACACACACACACACACACACACACACACACACACACACATGTGGGTCTCGTAGCCTGGTGGATAGCGCGCAGGACTCGTAATTCTGTGGCGCGGGTTCGATTCCCGCACGAGGCAGAAACAAATGGGCAAAGTTTCTTTCACCCTAAGTGCCCCTGTTACCTAGCAGTAAATAGGTACCTGGGAGTTAGTCAGCTGTCACGGGCTGCTTCCTGGTGTGTGTGTGTGTGGTGTGGGAAAAAAAAAAG